TAAAACACAGCTTCAAGTGTGCCTGAAGTTAAGCGCCACTCAACCTGGTCAACTTTATATATGTACACATGAAAATAATTAAGATCAAACAGTCGTACGTATATTTGTTTAGAATTAAATTGTTTATTTAACAATGGTATCCCCAGGGAAGGAATCCGTAAAAGGTATACTGTATATACCCATAAAAAATATTCATTGTACCGTGTGATATTAGTTCGATGTGTATTTGTAGCTACATCATTTTTCAAGTTTTTTAAAAGCATTTATAAGTTTATAATACACTTTAGCATAAACAGAAATAGAGTACTGAATCTGTGTACACTAAAGACTAATCGTAAATTTCAAGAAATGTTTACTTAATATTGTTATAAAATTTATTATTATATAACAGAATTTCAGTACCACAAACTTTCCCATAAAAGGATTTTGTGATGCAGCCAGCTGAGTTTCATTTATCATGTCGAAAACTACATAAATCACTAAAACTATTAGGAAATATGATATTTTCAAAGGCGGAAAATAAGAGTTTTTTAAATGTACAATAATAAAATTGTAATTAAGTCGAACCTGTACATTAGATATTTTTTGAAACAGAGGCCGAATCTATAGTTTGTAAAACCTAAGAATTTGGTATTTAGTCATCTGAACGTGGGCGGAGCCGCGGGCAATGCTAGTAGCAAAATAAAGTATGAGCTTCTCGAGATGTTTTCAGATCTTGTCAAATAAAAGTAAAACCTAAAATTTAAAACTTACAATTTTTTACAAAATTTAAAATTATTGAATACCAATATAATACTTTCTTAGATTTACGCGAATATTTGACATTTTAAATAAAACTATCTTTTCGGATTTTGTCGCGGATTTATTTGGATTTTTGTTTCCCGACGTTTCGAATGCTTGTCGTTGTGGGTAGGCTGTCTGTAACAACTATACATTCAAGACATGTAACACCTCAGTCTCTCCCGTGACCATGGATGCTGGCTGTTATTATAATGTAACATAAATAGATAACACCTTAACCAGTTAATAATATTAACTGAATATATTAATAACAATATATGAAATAATGTTACTGAGCAGACATTTTTTCCTCGTGTTCTAAAAATACCAATGTAAAATAATCTATTATTTGGAGATTGATCACCGAGACATTTCGGTTTAGGCCGATACGCTTCGGGAGAATCGATGTCGTTACATTGTAGTCGTGTGAAATTCAAAACTATCATCCAAGGTTACTTGGATTAGTATAATTATTACGGTGACAAAACTGGCAAATATTTTTAGGCAAATAGTTATAGAGGTAGCTAATGGACGTTCTAGAACAGAGTTATAAATAATAAATAATAATATATAAATATGTCATTACCACACAACACCATCTAGTTCCATGGTAAGCTACGAGGCTTGTGTTATGGATACTAGATAGTTGATAAACTGCACATATAGTATAACTTTAAATACATACATATTATAAATATAAACATCCATGACTGACAAACATTCGTGCTCATCACACAAATGAATAACACCAGCGGGACTCGAACCCGCGACCGCCGGCGCAGCAAGTAGGGTCATTACAAACTGAGCCAAACGTGTCGTCAAAAGTTGGTTGGTAGCCTTAAGATTAAACCTCGTTACATACATAATTAGGCCCTATTGATGCACCGCCTATAAAAACTACATCATACAGGTCGGTCACGTAGAGCCTGTGCAGGGTACATCTGCTCTGCAGTTATACCACGGCTGAACGACAACAATGCCAAGCAAGTCAAGTAATCGTGTAATTTCGACGCAAACACCGCATCTCCGATAAGGATAAGACGCGGGAAATAAAGCAGTCGGATGTAAATGTTTATCCTAGGTTAAGAGCGGAACGCACATGGCATATGTATGTTACGAAGTAAATGCTTACATATAGCGCAAACAAATTTTTTTTGTCGTTATTGTTATTAAATACGGAAAAAATATTAAAAAACACGAACAGTAGCGTCTCGAGGACCGTTTAACCTTCTTAAACCTCTAAATAAAGCCTTGAATTGATCGTTTGATTTGTATCGTCAGCTAACAAAAAAAAAAAACATAAATCACATCAATACAAAATATAAATAAAAATAATCAGATAGAATATATTTATAGATAATTGGAAAACCTATTGCGTTCTCATAGCGTGTCACCAAAGATTGAAAAGTTGCCTATCACGGATTACTTAAAAATGAATGTTATAATGGATGCCGTGTAAAGTGTAAACGATACGGCAGTAGGGTAGAGTTCTACGAATTTACTATTGTCTAACGAAATATTTGCTTTTTTTTAAACTAACATAATTTCAAATTATAAAATATAAAACGGGTTTCAAATTAAATTAATATATACTTCTATTATATATTAATTTAATTTATATATTAATATATACATAAGTACGTATAAATAGATCAACTTAGTTATTTTAAAATGTCTTCTTCAATTAAATTAAATAACGTATAACCATGGGAACAATACTTTTTATAACCATTACTGTTCGTCCAGTGTTCACGCCGGGTAGGTATGGTTTAAATGCAGTTACGGTTATAGGGCACGTCATAGTCAACCAGTGATAAAAAACCAAACAAGGTTAAGCAACATGAATTGCACTAATGTTAGGAATAGTACAGGTACAGGGGTCAGGGTAAGCATCTTACAATAATGGTTGACTGATAACATTGACAACCTGCAGCAATTAATACTAAATAAGAAGAAGTGCAGGAGTAGGAGTTAGAGCGTATTATTTTGTATCTGTACATGTATCGACTGGGTGTATGTTATAAATGGTTGAAATATTAATAATAAAATAACAAAGAGAACACACAAAAACTGATATTTTAAAATTAGTTCTAGTAGGTACCTATATTTAGGCGGCATTTTTTTTTATTATTAGGTGACCCCTAACTGTCCGTGAAACAGAAACTGTCCCCTAACAGCCCCCTAACCATGCTTAGGGGATCCCTTAAACGTAGGCGACGTTGGTGAAATCGGCTATAAGAATTGAAAAAAAAGTTATTAAATCTGAGATGAAGCCTATGTTAGCAATGCTTAAAGCTCCATTTATACTTCATCGTGGCGAGAGGGCGTTTAGAGGTAATAAAACGGGGTGAACGGTGAAGTTCAAAAGAGGAGAATCGCAAGGGAGGTTTGCTGGCACGCTCAAATAATAAACCTGTATAAGTTAATGTTATAAATAGGTAAAATGTTACAACGTAGTTTATTTAAAACTAGCATTGCCCGCGACTTTGCCCGCGTTCAGATGACCAAAAACCAAATTCTTAGGTTTTACGTATTAGTATACTCTTATATTGCAGTTTTTGTATTTTTTCTCAGAAATGAGACATTTTTTCGCTGTAAAAAGTATCCTATATGTTGACCCGGATAACCAGCTATCACCATACCAAAATTCATCAAAATCACTCCAGTGGTTTTTCCGGTGATGCGGTAACAGACAGACAAATATTCTAAAAACTATAGATTCGGCCCCTGTATCGATAATAATGTTTATTTCAATAAGATTTTCCCAAAAATATTTAATGTACAGATTCGGCTTAGTTACAATTTCATTATATGTATAGATGATAAATGAATGTTGTCATAAGTAAATTTATTTATGTATTATAATCGTATGAAAGAAAAAGTCTATGATTGTATATTTAGAAAGCAAAAGGTGACTGCTAATTTATAAGAAGCCAAATTACGTTAGCATTGTATATTTTTTACTGACTAATAAATATCACTTTTAAAGTTAATGTCTTACAAGAAAATATAGTATAAAGAACACAGCAATACTTTGTTATATTTGAAAAAAAAATCGATTAAGAGCTACGGCGCCAAAACAGTAAGTTGTATATTTATTGATCCCGAGTAAAATTCATTCGATTAACGTGACTGGTTTTTTGATAAAATTTAAGCACCCATATATATTTTAAGTTGTGGTTTTGCGTCATTATATAAGAATGAACACGATTCAATATTAGGTATAAAGTTTTAAGACCTGTTTCGATCGCGGTGCAAGAATATAATATATGAATGTTTATTGTCGAGTGTTTTAATGTGAATTAATACTTATGTTATTACTATAATAAATTATGTACTTAATCTATACATATAATAAAATTGTAACTAAGTCGAATCTGTACATTAAATATTTTTTGGAAAATCTTATTGAAATAGACATTATTATCGATACAGAGTCCGAATCTATAGTTTTTAAACATTTTGTCTGTCTGTTACCGCATCACGAGATATCCACTGGACATATTTTGATTAAATTTGGTATGATGATAGCTGGTTATCCGGGTCAACATATAGGATACTTTTTACCACGGGAAAATATCTCATTTCAGAGAAAAAATACAAAAACTGCATTGTAAGAGTATATTAATATGTAAAACCTATGAATTTGGTTTTTGGTCATATCAACGCGGATGGAGCCGCGGGCAATGCTAGTTTATGATATAATACTTCTAGCACAACATTAAGGTATACGATATGTACATCAATCAAACGGACATTTTAACCAATCAATTATTAGTTTTGCTATTAGAGTTTTACTATCATTGTGTAACAATAAGTTATTATCGGCTCTCTTGCTATTTCACAATAATTAACACTACAAATGCTAAGCATTACTAACGAGTTACGAAGCAAAGAATTGACTCCTTCAAGTCTGTAGGAGACAAACGAAGTGTTTATCAGTAAATTTGCAAGTGCAAAGAGCAAGCAATAAATATTTATTTTCAAGATATTATTAGTCGAAATGAGCGATAACGAATTAAAGATTGTTTTTAAAAACAGAAATATCGATTATAAAAATTCAACCAATTTATTATATGACTATACTCATTTAAATTTTAATTGAAATTTAAAATATATATAACCATAGGAAAAAATAAAAAAAATGAATTTCAATAAAAATGATTCGCAAAATATAAGACATATCGAATGTTTAAACATAAAGGTTCATGAAAACTTACCAGAAAAGCTAATTTTTGTTTCAACCGGCATCTTTATTTAATTGAATCCCTCAAGAATTATAGTAGATAGTTTAAAAGATTCCCTTAGAAATATTTTTGATTTGATGTTTGTTTAAATTATTTGTTTTGTTTGTATATGATATTTTTTCAGGGTCCCCTGTTCCGCGAATGTGCCAGTACGCGTGATCCGCTCGCTAGCCGAGTGTGCACTGGCGGCGGTGGCTAAAGCGTCCTACGTGCGCGCGTCCGTCTCACGTTTCTGATACGAGCCTTGTATATTATTTCAGCCGCCGTTGTCCCCATCGTCATTGGGATACATGACATTTTGTGTTTAGCTCATTTTCATAATATGTATTGGAATTTCAATTTAAATTTTTCTCTTTCGTTTAAATTTAAATAGAAATGTAGATATTTAAGATATTCTAAACCATGTAGAGTACACATATTCTACTCTATATTTAGAGTATACTCGTACATACTGTACATGCTCTTACACGTTTTATTTTTACATACATTTACATATTATACATAATAATTTCCTTGGCTTCATATAAAAATATTTGTCTTAGAAAGTGTTGTGTGTGTGAAACGGTAGGTGTAGCAAAATCTCATGAAATTGAATACATTAAAACTTTAAAAACAATAATTATGTCTAAGATAGTAATTTACTAATCCAAAACATATTACGATCGAACATATCAACGATAAGGAATTATATTACTTTAGTTCATTGATACAACAATAAATAAACATTCGATTGAACCATAAATTCAAATAGGGCACAATACTTCTTTCACTTTAGTAAATTTCAATTAAATTCTCTGGTTAAAGAATTCAAAACGTGCCATTTTAGCACAGATTACTTCGCCAACGTCACATCGAATGAAGAAGACACGAAAGAGATTGACCGGAAACTTATCAACTTCGTCAATATACTGACATCAGTATGAAAATAATAGACACTAAAATGAAAATAAAAACTTTTTAACAAAAAATAAAAACCGACTTCCAGGCACTTAAATGTAAATAATAACTAAACGGAGGTTTTCATTTAGAATAGATACCTAATCAGATATTTTCGAAGTCGGTGCCAGCCAATGCAAAGCAAATCTAATATATTTCGATACGTAAAATACATATTTACCTATTAGATATTCATATCTTAAAATCTTGTAGGCTGGCACCGACTTCGAAATTTTTTTAAAATAACCATGTCAAAGGGAAAGCTTAGTAATTACTATTCTCAATCTATTGCCACTATAACAATAATATTGCAACAACAAATGTGTTTCTTATAGACTTTTACGTGAGAAGGACCACTTAAATTCAATAATGTGCACATTAGAGAATTTGGACATGCATCAAATAAATGGGATAGGTTTATTGTCTACATATAGCTCTAATCTAAATATGTTTGTAGTAATATTAATGTGATAATATATTTATCTATACATATAATAAAATTCTGAATCGAATCTGTACATTGAATACTTTTTGGAAAATATCATTGGAATAGTCATTATTATGGATACAGAGGCCGAATCTATAGTTTTTAGAATTTTTATCTGTCTGTCTGTGACCGCAACACGAGAAAACCGCTGGACAGATTTTGATGAAATTTGGTATGGTGATAGCTGGATATCCGGGTCAACATATAGGATACTTTTTACTGCAGGAAAATATCTCATCTCTGAGAAATCTATATTAAATCTTAAAACGTAACTAGGGACGAACCCGAGCGGAGGGAAGGTGAGTCGCTAGTTATTAAATATTAACAGTAATAAATTTGAACGTTATTTTTTGCATGAATGAAGAAAGCGTAAGGCAGTAGGTAGCACTATTGCGTACCTTTAATAATTTTACTTTTTTTTGGTCATATTTTTGTGCCCATTAATCTCTGAAACGGTCAAACAGATATTACAGATAGAGCTTCATTGGTATATAGAGAATTCGTGCTTAAGCGACATGAGCTAGGTACTTTTTACTTTTTTTTATGACGTTAACACACAGCACCATCTAGTTGCATGGTAAGCTACGAGGCTTGTGTTATGGATACTAGGTAGTTGATACACTACACATACATATATAACTTTAAATAGATACATTTTTATAATATATAAATATAAACACCCATGACTGGAGTACAAATGTTCATGCTCATCACATAAATGCCTCCAGCGGGACTCGAACCCGCGACCGCTGGCACAGCAAGTAGGGTCACTATAAACTGAGCCAAACGTGTCTTCTTTTCACTTTATATATATGGGATAGAGCAAGGCGTAATCGATTTTAATTTAAGAAGGCAAAAGTTCTGTTCGGTGTTGCTTTTGTAGTCGGTAAGTCTCCACATAACCACTGTATATATGCAGGTGGCATGCGTAAGTGCATTTAGCAAACGTTAAAAAACACAAAGAGGCATAAGCGATTTTATCGAGACTTTTAAATAGCTCTGTGTGAATAGAAGCAAGCGGCAGTTAATTTTCTATAAAAAATTTTAACCTCTATTGTAATTAATCAATACCAATTTGTGATAATATTCATTCATTCATTCATTTATTCATTCAGGCTCACTAAATTGTTATTTCAATGTTGTTGCATATAGATTTTATCTTTACGTATTTCCTATAGTGGTCTAGTATGTGGGCCAAATGGTACGGTTACGGCATACCTCTTTTGCTTCACAAACTAACATCGTCATGCCCTCTGGGGGATTCCCATTTTTTTTTCTCGTGACCTTAATCTAGTATACTGGACACGTTTTTTTAGGTCATCCGAGACACATATAATATAAATAAATATGTTGAGACATTAACACACAGCGCCATCTAGTTCCATGGTAAGCTACGAGGCTTGTGTTATGGATACCAGATAGTTGATACACTACACATATATAACTTTAAATACATACATATTATAAATATAAACACCCATGACTAGTAAAAACATTCGCTCATCACACAAATGAATGCCCCCAGCGGGACTTGAACCCGCGACCGCTGGCACAGCAAGTAGGGTTACTACAAACTGAGCCAAACGTACATACCATACATAGTTATTACTTACTCAGTTTAAGGCACTTTTCAATTACAACTAACTAAAAACATTTTTATTGCAAATATCAATATGTAAGACATTTTTTTTTTTTTTTTTTTTTTATGTCGGGAAATGCATTTACGCATACCACCTGATCCCCAGGTGGTGATGTGGGGCTCACCGGCTAGAAGAGCCGATACTACCCACTAAAACCCGACATTCCCCTCCCCTCCGCCTTAATGGGACGCCGCAGGATCGCTTGCGCATAACTACTACGGCGCCCCGGCGGCAGGTCTGCCTAAACGCTAGGCAGACCACCAAACCGATGGGGCTGCTCCACAGTCAACTCTGCTACGCCAGAGAGGTACCCGGAGCAGCCCCATGAAACCTAACCACCGCCCACCGAAGTGGGCCACCTCTAATCGGCTGCAGAAGACAGGGAGAGCGGCAACGAAACACCGACACTCCTCTTCCCCTGCAGCCCCACCGCGTCCGCCATCAAACGGTGGCGGCCCCGTCTAGGCCGCGGAAGGTAGGGAGAACGGCGCACCGAAATACCGGCACTCCTCTCCCGCCGCAGCCTACTCCTCTGCCGGATGCGGGCCTGCGACCACAGTCCCGCAACCGGCACCCATCATCCGATTGTGGGACCAAGCGGTCCCACCACCGGTGGCCGCAACGTCTTCGGCTCGAGGCCTAGACGAGCGGCCCCATCCAAGCCATTTGGTCCGCGCCGGATTTCTCCGGTACCACCCGCCGCCCTAAGCGGGTGGCATTCCCCTATCCGCCACCTGGGGACGCGCCCGGTAGGAGTTGGCTTCTCCCCCGGGAATATGTAAGACATAATTAGATATCTATTTTATGATTTTTTTTTATACTTTCACTTTCGATAACGATTATAGATTAAACAATGTTAATAATAAGTTCATAAATAAAAGAGAAAGACAAGCAAGTATACTTTAAATAATCTGATCATATTGAGATTTACATTCACCAGCTTACAGTACTTAATTAAAGTGAAAAAAAATATGATTTTGTTTTTATTGTATATTTAATACTTAATAGTAGGTTGCATAACGATTAATTCTAAACTATATCACGACAGCTGTTTGAATATATAAACTACCCACTTAAGTCCTACATACATAAAAAAAAATTCAAAAAGGTTCTCACGGTTAAGAAAATAAAGTAGTCAAAAGTAAGTATTTTATGTAAAGTCTTGAAACCAGCTTAAAAACTTTCGCTTGTAGCACTTTGCTTGCAAAAGCATTGCCAGTTTCAACATATGTATAAGTACACGTATATTATGTTAGGAAGAACGATGTTTTCATATATTCTCTTGCAACAAACACTTAAATTTTATAGGTTTCGCTATTAACATTAAAAGCTTAACACGCTCTATCCATCGCATGGCGTAGCTACCATGTAACTATGAAAGGTATGATTTACACTATATTTAAATTACGTATATATGGTATAGTACTAGCGACGTACCTTCCCTTCGATTGGGTGTGTCCCTAGGTAAATAAAAATAGCCGATAAAGTCCATAGCTCAACGGCCATTTTTCTAACAATATTCATTTTTATTGAAATAAAAATAGCCTTTAACACTCTGAAGGAATTTAGCTCCCTAAGTAAAAGATTTTTTAGATTCAAATCAGTACTTTTAGAGATTACACCTTGCATATAAACTTAGAAGCTTACCTCTTTATAATATGAGTATAGAATATAGATAATATAAATAGGTAATAATTAAATCGGTTATGTCAATTGCTGCTTTTACATACATATAAAACAGTTACATAATACCTATTATAACACGATACCCCTTTTTAATAAATAGGTTAAAAAAATAATTTTCTTTTACTTATAATATTAAGGCATACCTATTAGTGTGGTATTTATGAATATCTTCAAATACTTCCCCTGGTCGATTTTACTAATCTACAGGGGAAAAAATCCAATGAATTACACCTCTACTGTTCCTAGCATTTCGCC